GGAGACGGATGGGTTCTGGTGGTGGATAGATATCCCAGCAAGGGACTTGGGTGCTCCCGGCCAGACCATCTTCTTGTATGCGCTGACGACACTCAATCAAAAGGACGCGAGAGGTGTTACGAAGGAGGAGTATTACCGAACGAAAAATAGCGGCTGCTATAGTATGAATTGGGGTGTTTTTATGAAATGGGAATTGGTATAGATATAGACATTTGACCGGATTTAGGACGAAACGATTACTCTAATGAGCGGTATACCCAGCAACAACACAAAGATTTTCAGATATAATGCCGTAGTGATCATTTGTATATTTTGCTATTTCGTTAGAATTAGCAATTTTTATTGAACTCCGAGCGAGAATTGGAACAAAAGAGCTAGAGCGAAACGACGTGTACAACTATTACTACAGCGATGAAGTTTTTCGGCTTATGATGGTGCGAGAAAACCGCCTACTGTTCCTCCCGCCAGAAATGATACAATATTTCCAGGCGGCTTTCTGTATTATGCTGTAGCATCTAGCATAAATACACCATCCGCAGCTGCCCTAAAGTATAAATGCCGGCACTCGGGGGGCCGTCCCGGTCCACTTTGGGTTTATCCAGTGGGTCCACACGGAAGAGATGCGGCGTCTGCCGCACGTCGGGTTTCCGATATGGAGGGGCAGTATCAAAATCGAGGTTAATATTGGAAAGCACTGTTAAATGTGTTAGATAATAGGATTCATAGAGAAAAATTAACAGTAACAGATATTAAATGGAACTGCTAATCCATTTAACTAACTATAAATTATAAACAGGCCGACCTCGGCTCGCGAAGATCTTCTTAGTCAGCAATAGCTCGGAGATCCGTTCGCTATTCAAGTTCGTTTTGCGTCTTGGCGTATTAAAAACTCCAGCTTTGTATTCCGTACCTCATAGCTCCCTTCCGTCCACCAATACTGCTAGCTTTTCTACCCCGAAGGATCGTACACCTTCTTATGGCTCAGCACACCCAATTAAGTCCGTCATAAAACTAAATTTGCCATGGGAATAACACGTCTAGGTCGCCGGAGCATACTACTCCTTTCGGGGCTTGCTTTCGCATCTGGTGTCGCAGCTAGCCTCGGCTCCGAGAACGCGCCGCGTGCCTCGTTGAGCTTAGATAAATTGGAAGAAAAGCTGCAGGTTCGCTTTGCTCAATATGTTATCTTTAGATGTCATACTAATGTAGTGCTCCAGACTTGCTCGGTTGTACAAGAGCTCAACGCTGAGAAGCTTGCTGACGCTTCCGAAACCTCGACCTTGACTTCCCAGATATTCGCCGTATTATTCCCAGGTAGCCCCGCCGTAAACGCCCTTTTAGCAACACTTTACATCTCAGGCCCGCCAAACTTTCTATTGGCACTATGTCCGCCGAATATCGATCCTTCCTCGCTGTCGGTTATGGTGGCGTTTGCTGTGGGGGGATTGCTCGGGGATACGCTCTTCCATTTACTACCCGAGATCTTTCTCGGAGAGGACAGTCCTGAACATGTCCGGTTCGTTCTCGTTGAGCCCAATCGCAACCTCCTCTTAGGTGTTGCTATCATGGTCGGTTTCATGACGTTTGTAGCTATGGACAAGGGATTGCGAATAGCCACGGGCGGAGAAGGACATGAGCACAACCATGGAAACCACTCCCATGATACGCCGACGGAAACCAAAGCTATCTCGACCTCTATAGATGCCCCGAATGCGGAACTCACCAAGCGGAAGAAGAATGACAAGAATGATTCAAAGGTCGACAAGCAGGAAAGCGAAAAGGAGATCAACCCCAGCGCTAAACTAGGTGGCTATCTCAACTTGATGTAAATTTGGTTTCAGCAGAACCAGGATCCTCCAGATTACTTATTCTTGTGTATAGTGCCGACTTCACACATAATATCACCGACGGTCTAGCAATGTCGGCATCGTTTTACGCCTCGCCTACAATTGGCGCTACGACGACGGTAGCAGTGTTCTTCCACGAAATTCCTCACGAAGGTCGGTAGTTCTCTTCCCCGAAGTCCCCTACTTGTGATGAATGATGAATACTAATCCATTTTATCCAGTTGGCGACTTTGCTCTACTCGTACAATCCGGATTCTCAAAGCGTGCTGCGATGGGCGCTCAATTCGTCACGGCCCTGGGAGCTCTTCTGGGAACGCTAATTGGCATCGCCGTTCAAGAATTCGGCGGTGGCGGCGGCGCAGACGGTAATGGAATCGGTATGACCGAAGGCATCTGGGGTACCAGCCTTACGTATGGTGACCTGCTGCTACCGTTCACCGCCGGGACGTTCCTATATGTGGGTACGGTCGCAGTAATTCCAGAATTGCTGGAGACTGGTCCTAACAAAACCCTGGAGTTCCGGAAGATGCTTGTGCAGTTTGCCGCCATTGCTTTAGGCGCTGGGATCATGCTTTATATCTCATGGGATTAATTTTGGATTTAACAGCAGAGGTCGGGTGAACTATAGAATGATAGAATGGGGTTGAGTAGTATCGATTGTATAAGTCGACATATTTATAGAAGGTACCTGCTTACTACGAGTTGTAAGTGAGGAACAAAAAGATTGCTATGGTTCATGTCTGTCGATAAATTCGAACCCGATTCGTCATGTCTAAGAGGATGGTGCTATGTAGTACTCGCTTCTCGCTTCCGTTGGTAGCAGCTGTTATTAATATTAGGTAAAACTAGAGACTATCGATCTCAAAGCGAAACGAATCCATCGTCAGGATTTTTTGTCGCCTACAATACCCGCTGGAAGCCGGTGTGTTGTGAAAGAAGGATGTTTCATTAGTAAAAAGAATCCACAGAGGTGCCAAGAAGATCTACTAGCATTGCAACCCGTTCCTGCGTCTCTGAGTCCCGTTTTAACATGCGCGCAAACGGTTCTGGGCCTTGAGATTTTCATGTTTTTTATCAGATCATTCCACGTGGTTACATACACGAACATCCGAAAGATCAAGAGATGACAGTGTGTTTCATTGACGTGGATATGCCCGAGGCGAAGGAATAACATCCGCCTGACATGCATAATCAACTCACCTATATACCGATGAATAATGGATTTTGTAATGTGTGTATATGGAACATCGACAGACCAGCAGACTAGATTCCCCTATTACGAAGGAGAAAAAATAGAAAATAAAAATAAAAATCCATATTACCATATCACCATATCACCACGTTTCCCTCTCTTCTTGGATGGTTGGCTAATTATTTGGTTGGTGGGTTAGCTTTGACTTCAAGCCGGGGTTTATGGCGGAGGGCCGAACTCGGAGAAGACATTACTTAAGGAGCGTTTTATTTTTATGTGCATTCGAAGGTAAAATAGACGTTACTATGTACATTTCAATACCCTAGGTACGGTAAGTAATATCTTATGACTCCCGGCCAGTGTACCTAAAGCAGCCACTTATACGGATGTTCCCACAACCACAAAATACCCCTTGGCCCTTCAGGCTTTAACAGTTAGGTAATTGTTGGCCAACGAGCCCTATATACAAACAACGATACGGTACACGAATCACGCCTTTAGTTTAGGTACTAAGAACAACATCATCTAACACAAATATCGCATCATATATTTTACTCATACTATCATCCAGGGATGAGTGATCCATCAGGATTACAGATTATGAAGAGGTATAATTACAAAATAACAATGCGCCCTTCATTCTAAACACGGCATCGTTAAACACATGCACAACTATTGTGTAAGTACCTAACGGTTAGTTATATAATCATCGAGGGGATCATGCTCCGTCGATGACTCTTCGATCGAGATAGTGGATAGGGATGTGGATAGGGATAGCTTTTCCCGATCAAGTAATTGGCATGTCCCAAGACTGGATACGATAGGTCAAGGGCATCGATCTTTTAGTGAGCAATGTAACCTACAATGTCGGCATGTCAGATTTCTAAGCTCTCGGAGGGCGCAATCATAAGAAATATGTCTAACCTAAGCGGGTATAGTATCATATCTAGGTCTCAGCCCTCCGACATGGAGCAGTTGTCCAGTCGTCAAGATCCAAGGGGCTAGGAGCTGGAGATAACTAACGGAGGTCATCCCGGGGGAGCGTCAACGAACTATGACTTCTCCGCAAGTGTCGTTGTTAATTCCCGGATGTCATCAAGATGCAAAAGCCGAGGACGGTGTTTCCACGAGCCGCATGACACCAAAGGCGGTAGACCATTGATTAGTAGGCCACTTATATGACAAGCTTCTATGCTCATGCGCATTATTAGAATATGATAGCGTGCTCGAAGGGCGCATCCTACACTAGACGCAAACTTCTCGAAGACTCAAGACTCAAACGCCATCTTCCTTGCTCCACCCAGCTGATTAATTATAACTTTTTACGTACGATAATTGGATTCGTCTTCCTTTGGAGGTAAAGCCTCGAAGTGGTCACCTTTAGAGGTCAAGCGTAGGTCGAGCGTAGGCCGAGCGTAGGCCAAGCATAAGACCAAGAGAATTTTTAGAAGAATGAACACATCCAATGCCGCCCCGACCCCCTTCGAACCCCCCTCAGTCTCCCCTCAGACCCCAGACCCCAAATCAAATAAAAGAATGCAGGCCAAGTTGACAAGTTAATTGCGCTTCTGCAATGGCGCGATAACCCCTGCCTTGGGCAGATCCGCTCCCATGTCAGGCCACCAGGGTTTCCATCCAGCCAGCGGAAGACATGAAGGGCGGAACGATCTAATACCCTTTACGTCAGAACGGAGGAGCTTTACGACAACCATCTTTTATCACTAATACATTCGAGTGTTTACCTACATAGAACTTCCATCATTCTTCAATCTTAAGATGACTCAAGTATTATCGTCGAGCTTAAAGCTAGACAAGTCCGTGTATTATTTGTTTCCTTAAATATACAACTATATAAGCTATAAGCTATATAAGCCATTGGTTCCCATCATAACCTTTACACCTTGGGGTCTTATCGATATTAATATCACAACGTAGTACCGCCATCACCAATACTACCTACATATGACCTTTCTCATACTGTAGTTGACGGCAAGGACTCAGGTTCAATATTATTATTATCACTTTGCTGCCTAGCATAGCGCTACAGTTACGCAGGACGACATTCGAACTATATATACACATGCACCCCTTTTGGTTTCATTATCGCAAGCATTAGTTAAAACCAGAGTCGGCACATCATATTATACTACTAAAATCCAGAATCTATACCTGAAGCTCTAAGCTGTTTAAGAACGAGTACCAGCTTTCAAAATGGCGTCCACCTCGTCTTCGGAACACAGCAAAGTTCTATCGTTAGGCGGCTACGCTCGCAAGCTGTCTATCACTCCTAAATCCAACATCAACATTCACATCAACAACCATTATAACTCTCGAATCTACACCACCGGCTCAGAAGTATCAGGACGTGTTACTATTACACCCCAGAACGACACGCGATTCGACACGCTCCAGGTTGTGCTACTTGGAACTAGCAAAACCCGGATAGACGCCGTAAACATCCCCCAGGCGACCGTTCACACTTTCTTAAAGCTCATAATGCCTATCCCGGAATCATCCTATCCAATCCCGCGCGTGTTTGAGGCAGGTCTGACTTATACGATACCATTCACCTTCGTCATTCCGAGTACCCTCACTCTTAACGCATGCAGTCATCAGGTCGCCAACAATTCCGTTCAGGACCACCACATGCGATTGCCTCCTACTCTTGGTTCTTGGGAAAAGGACGACTTTGCGCCGCACATGAGCCGTGTTCAGTACGTGATTAAGGCACGGGTGTATAAGGACGAGGCGGATGATGGATTGACTACGAAAGTTATGGAAGCTGGGCAAGAGATTAAGGTCTTGCCTATGATACCGGAAGACCCCCCATTGAATATTACCAAGCACGACGATTTGTACGTTATGTCGAAGAGTAAGTCGCTACGAAAGACTATCATATCGCCCAAGACAGGGAAGGTGACTATCACGGCTGCACAACCCAGCGCAGCCATGCTAAGTCCCGACGGTAAAACGAGCACCTCGACTACAGTACCGCTCTACCTCGAATTCGAACCATTTTCTATCGACGCTCGCCCACCAAAAATCACAGGGATATCATCCAAGGTTACAGCGGTCACGTATTTCAGCGCCGGCGGCGTCAGCCAATACCCTAACCTTAAGGACTGGCACAGAGCATTCGGCTCCGAGGGCCGCGGCTCGTACTCAGGCACCACATCCGTTACCACAGGGCCTTTAGGAGAGGTCAAATGGAGCCGACACCTAACGGCGCAAGCTCGACGAGACTCCGGATACGGTAGCGACAGCCTCTCGTCCGACACAGATTTACCCCCTAAGCCCGCCCCTAAAAAGACGAAAGGCAGTCTACCATCCCCGATATTCCACGCGGCACAGCTACAAGTGCCGATTCAGCTCCCGGTGCAGAAGAAAACATTCGTGCCAACCTTCCACTCGTGCATCGCGTCGCGCGTCTACGTCCTGTGGTTAACGGTCACAGCCGTTTCCGGCGGGAACAGCGCACATCTAACTCTCGGCGTGCCTTTGCAAATCGGTGTCGGCAGCAGCGCGGTTTCGCACATAGATAATACTGCACTGCCGCCTAGCTTCGAGGAGGTGGAGGAGGCGGATGCGGATGCAGATGCGAACGAGTATCTGCTCCCGCGCTTCATGAGCGTCCCTGCAATTAATTCCCACCAGGACGGGGCGCTGCCGGGCTACGCGGACCTGGATCACCATAGACGAAGGACGGTGGTCGCGCACTAAAATCACGATTCGATGACAGCTACCTATACGCTTTTGGTTCTTCCATTGCATCTACGTTTCTCTTGCCTTGAAGAGCATTATACGGGACTTGATACCACCTTCGTCTAGGAGCAATTTATCTAGAGCGAGTATTTGGGAAGCGTGGCGTTTGGGTTCTAGGGCTGCTGGGAAAAGGGGGTAGTGAAATTGGTATTCGATTGTATAAAAAAAGAACTTGGGTGCGGTGATCATTGAGACGACAGCATAACTTATAATTTGGCAATGAGGATTGATATTCAGCATCCCTTTGTTTTTCAACCACGTATTGAGTAATAGTTACCTGTTATCACATTTTATTTAAGCTACCTGTTATAACCCCTATTTTAACTGTATAAGATCGAGTATATATGGGCCTTTCCTTCTACCTACGTATCGCTTGTAGAGCGAAGACTATGGACTACCAAGGTTCTCTCTAGCCAGCCGGGTTAGTAGATCCATATGCCCCATCCGCTACAAGACTGGAATATCAGTCTAGACCCCGGTATGGAGATCTCCTGAGTAGGGCTAGGTAGATAGTTATCTCCACCATGGCCCCCTCTACGAGCCCTACATCGTCAAGTTACTGGCCTATGAATATATGACGACCGAAGTCGGTAGGCTTTTCGACTATAAGTTAAATGTAGAGAGCCGAACTCTGTCTTCCTCGGAGCTAATGACTCTTGTTTGTACCCACTTACACTAGGCAAATCGGCACGGTAGGTTTGTTTTGCGGTCCTGCTTCGTAATTGCTATAAGTAATATCCATGATACCAAGCGCCGCCTATGTAGAGGTAGGTAGTGGGCGGGAAACCACCGCATGCTAATTAGATCAAACAGTCTCTATTAGCAACTCGGCTAGCTACCTTCCCCAGGAGGACTATAGATGCGGTGGACATAACGGAAATACCCACGGCCAAGCTTCTACGCTTATATATGCCGTATAGAGTTAGGAAGTCTTCGCAGATAGTTGCCGCCTGGTCGTCAACTTGCCTTGCACGCTACTCCAGAGAGAAAACCGTGACAAGCTAACAATTATGTGAAGATATATATAGCTAGGAGCTGGAGAAGCACCTACAATGCCCTAAAAACAAGCTTATCTAGCATTATTTCATACCCGCTCCGTACCTATTCAATACGTGCACTAACAATTAATTGTTGGTTGGTGTGGATGAATACTTGTAGTTGAGACTAGGTATAGACCGGGCGGAGGCTATGATAAAGCAAGTTAACTATCTCGCGTCACTGCTAGCTATTATACTTACGCTCATAACTTCCATAGACTAGTGATCGCCAACTCGGTTAAATTAAAGGGGTAAGTGACATGATGCAGAATCCCGGAAACTGAGTACCTATGTTTTCGTCATAAGAGGTAGCCATTATATCACAAGATCCGAGAGCAACGAATGGCGTGTTCCGTAGCGTTACGGTGTTACTTTACATACCTAAATATACCGTAGACGAGACAAGCAGCCTATGCTTTAAATTTCCCTGTTTCCTTTTAAACTATTTTTATCACTCGTCTCATCCTACCTACCTGTTTGTTCAACTTCCCCTGAAATATCAAATGGGGTCACAACGCCGTCCCCCAACTTGACTGATTTCGAATACATTAGACGAGTACACTACGAAATATATTCCTTGTGTAAATATTTTATTCATGGTAGATCAGTACCCTACTATATATACACTCGTGGGTTAGAGGATATGTCTAATTTCAGCCTTAAAATACCATCATCGAACTCAACACTAAGGACACGCCTGGGACACGCGAGGGTATAAGCAATGCCCAGTCCTTAAGTGCCGCTGAGAACGCGCATTCTAATTCTCGATATAGGGTTGAGGACACGGTATATCGTCCCTTGTATCTTCTCGATTTATCTGGTATATTCCTTCTGGAGTAGCTTGGCGATCGTGTTGAGTCTAATATTCAAGATTAGTATTGCTCCTCCCCTACTAATACGACGTAGACCGAAGAAATAAGTTAACTTACTGGATATTACTGGTTCCCTCGTAGATAGCACCGATCTTGCTATCCCTCCAGTATTTCTCTGCAAGACCCTCCCGGACGAAGCCCATACCTCCCATCCATTCGATGGCCAGGCCGCTAACACGTCCCGCGACTTGCGAGGCGTACAATTTCGCCATGGCCGCATCGAGCACGAAGTCCTCGCCAGCTTCCTTCTTCCGGGCAGCATTGTATACGAGAGCGCGCGCGGCCGCGATCTCGGTGTACGACTGGGCGATCTGGTGCTGCATACCCTGGAACTCGCCGACTAGCTTTCCAAACTGTTTGCGGTCGTTCCACACGTACTTGACTGCGTTTTCCCATGCACCTAACGCTAGTCCGGTCATCTGCGCCGCGATGCCGATGCGCCCCTCGTTCAGCAGCCCGATAGCGTATTTGTAGCCCTCGCCCTTTGCGCCGAGTAAGTTTTCCTTAGGGATCTCAACGTCGTCGAAGCTGATGGCGCATGTGCTGCTCGCTTTGATGCCTAGCTTCTTCTCCTTCTTGGCAATCGAGAAACCCTTGGCGTCTTTCTCGACGATAAAGGCCGTGATACCCCGATGCGCTTTGCTAGGATCCAGATTTGCGAATACGATGAAGAAATTAGCCTCCATAGAATTCGTGATCCACATTTTGCTACCGGAGATCCGGTATCCATCAGCGGTCTCTGTCGCCCTAGTAGCGAGCGCGAAGGCGTCAGATCCCGAGCCGGGTTCGCTCAGACAGAAGCTACCAACGGTGTTGGTGGCCAGCGCCGGGAGGAAGCGCTTCTTAATATCGTTACTACCCCACCTCAAGATGGCCGTGTTGACCAGCGTATTGTGGACGTCGACCAAAACGCTGACGCTCGGGTCGACACGTGCCAACTCCTCGATACCTACGATCGCGGCAGTGAAGTTCATACCGGCGCCTCCGAATTCTTCAGGGATCTCAATCCCCATCAGCCCTTGCTCAAAGAGTTGCTCAACCAGTTCTGGATCCATGTTCTCGGCCTCGTCCATATCGCGGACTTTCGGTAAGATTACCTCGTTAGCGAACTTAGAAACTGTCTCCTGCATCAACGCCTCAGTCTCAGACAGGTGCGTTATAGGTGTAGGGGGGATATCTGTAATGTCTATCATCCGGCAGGCTGTGGCAGATAAGGGTCTTATTGTCCTGTAGGCCCGAAATATTAATATGAGCCATTGCGATGAGAAACTTGGCTGGAAAGGCTTACTGTCGCGTATTGAACTTCTGTACCGACCTGCTACAACTTCGTGGTGATAACGAGGCCCGGGACAGTACGCCAGGACCCCGCCGTAAGGCCGGCCGAAGTAATCTTGCGATCGACGACATGGTATGAAGTAGTAACTTGTAATTTGTAACACGACGAGCAGATGTAACAGCTCACGGGCACAAATTACCGAGGAAGTTTGAAGAGTTTCGGATTATTGTATGTAAATTAGGTAACTAAGTAAAGTACTCGCACGCAATTAAGAAAATAAAGTAAATAATAATAAAGAAGAAGGAAGAAGAAGAATATGAAAAGTCCCGCCTTCTGCTCACATTTCCACCTTCCCCGGATTCGAGTTACCCTGACCGCCGAGCGGGTGGGCTCTGCCGAGGATAACCATGACTTATGTATGAGCCGTGGCTGAAAAGTAGTTGGGGGAAGCGGCGCTGACGTCGATTGTGTACAATACCGATGTACATATAGAGGGAGGCGCATTTAGCGAATCAGACATGAGCAATGCTGCCGTCCGGCTGGGTGTTACCGTCCGCGGTTCCATAGCCGTAAGACATGTGAATCCAGAGCTAGTAGGTACCTACGTACCTGATAAAAACTCATGCAGTGTCAGAGTGTACCTAATCCAATACCTAGAACCACACCCCACTGACCCATACATACCGAAGGCCGGAACCGAGAACTTGCCAGACCGATATCACCTGACATCGAATTTTCCACCCTTCGTTAATTGAGCTTCTCTTGGCGCCAGCGTATAATAGTATCAAGTTTCATATCCGATCGACCTGTTGGAGTCAGACACGGCGGCCGACTGACTACCTAAATTCCATTATGGCCGCGCCGATATTAAGATGCCTCTGGCCATCCCTGGCAAGACGGCCGGCCGCAATACAAATACCAATATCCCTTCCTAAAATACCCATGCGATCATTCTCCTCGACGCCGTCCCCCAATGCGACCCTAAACCAAGTCCTACGAGTACGTCTTCCTCGATCCCGTCTCTTTCTAGAAAAGGAGACCACTCACTATCATTATCTATCTGCTTTATGCGACTAGTCCTTTTTTAATAGCGACTAACTCGGAATATCATAGGGATGTCGTAAGCCCCAACGCGCGCGCCACGCCGTTTCTCCAGCTTTATCCGATACGGAATGTCCGCAGCAGAAAGGCGTGTGTCTCAAGGTCGGCATTACGCGGCCCAAGAAGCCCAATTCAGGCGAGCGAAAAACGGCTCGTGTGCGTCTGTCCAGCGGCCGTATGATCACGGCCTATATTCCCGGCGAGGGCCATAACATCCAGCAGCACTCTGTCGTTCTTGTCCGAGGTGGCCGAAGTCAAGATTGTCCTGGTGTGCGGTATCATTTGGTCCGGGGAGCCTTGGATTTGGTAAGTTAACGAATGAAATTGAGAGTCAGATTTGAAGGGGAGTCGTTGGCTTGGGACTACTTTTACTGACGCATATTTTTTCACTAGGCTGGTGTCTCCAATCGCAAGTCGAGCCGAAGTAAATATGGAACGAAGAAGCCGAAGAAGGCATCTGTCGGCTCGTAGATAAATATACAAGCATTCCGCAGGTCTCGTTCATACTATTAGGATTATAAACATCCTAACCTAAGAGGATTCGGAATAGGGGTAGTTACTTGGACGTGGACTGTACTTTTACTATACACGACACGGCGTGAAATGACTGCAACATTTCCATTTCATATGGCAAACCCATAAGCATATATCTACAATGAAGAAACCGACGTATATCGGTACGTTAATTCATCCGTGGACGCCATCCTGTTGCCTCGGTCAATACCCCCATTGAACCGCACTGGCGATGTTGCAATAGACCGTCATTAAAGATGGATAATATCTATTTACAATCATCTGTGAAATTTTTTTTTTCATCCTGGTTTCCTTTTCTCTATTCCTGTTGGTCCTCATAACCCTGAGGCTTATCAAGCCCATTGACTTCGAAGTATCTTGCTGTGCCTGCGGATGTATTAGTAAGACGTGATACCACGAATATGAGTGAATCGGAGAATACGTACAAGAGTACCCTTTCCAGTCAAAGTTTTCCTTCGGATTGCAGTGACAGCGGAGATCTAACCGCGTTTTCTCACCGGTTGGACAGTGAGTAAAGGGGACGTGGTAATAGGCAATATCATTGAAGAAGTGAATTTCTTCCTTCTTTAACAATAGGCCGGCAGCGATAGAATGTACCGGTGCATCACCCCATCGCTCATAAAAGAACCCACCATCCTGGTCAAGCGACTCGAAGAAGTCGGTATAGGCCTTGGATCGCAGCCAGTCTAAGTTGCCAACTTCGAAGTTAGACCACTGTATGTAGGTTAGTAGCTATTAATGCATGATTCGACGTGCTACTTACGAAGTGGCATTTATTGTATTTCTCGCCACCATCGTCACTGAGGAAAGCCATAGAATTACCCTCGGCGATATGTTCGGGGTGATTCTTCATAAACTTCTTTACACTGTCCCAGAGAGTAGGGATAGTCTCCTCGTATTCGTACAGACTAAGCACGAAGCTATACTTTTTCTTGTTCTCGGCCATGAAACGGAAAGGATCGTAATGAACGTCGCAGAAAAGTTCGACGCTGGGCTCGACTCGCCAGTACCATTCGTAGTTCATCATGAGCGGTTGGCGGAAGAAGAAACCGGATTCGAAGCGACACATGTGTCGGTAACTAACGGAATCGCCGTAGATAATCTTGCGCTGCGCCATATCTTCACGAACTTTCCGCGCCTTATCCTGGTCAATGTGGTCGGGGAAAGACCAATGCTCGTGAGGAATCTCGCCATAGTAAGTCTTGCCAGACACGAGGGAGCTCGTAACTTTCTTGAAAGTTGCATCAAATGGCTTGTCATTGAGGAAAACCCAATCGTAATTATAGCGGCGGTTGAAGCGATCTTCGACTTGACGGATAGAACGAGCAATTTCCCACACGTCACTATTGCGGGCAAGAGAGACGAAGGTGGCGTTCATACGAGGGCCGGGGGCAGTTCCTAGAAGATCATTCCATCCTTGATCCGACGGTGACAATGCCATTGGAGCTTCGGCAAGGTCTTCATATTGCTTCGGGGATCCTGCGCCGGGCTTCGATGGTGAACTCTTTGTAGACCCTGGTGCGTTGTTGGTCGAACCATCCGGCTTGTTTCCCCAACTGGACGCTCCGCCAACATCGTCGGATGACTTATCGGGCCTCGTCGATGAGGAGCCTGAGCTAGCTCCGAATGACGAGGGTTTCAGCTGTACTCCTTCATATGAGGAATGGGATACGAAGTAAAGGACTGCGAGAAACTATATAGCGAGTTGCTATTAGCCACCTAGACTCGACCTATTCAAACACGATTCACAAATAGTCAGGGTACAGCTTACAAAGAAGGCGAAGAGAATGTATCTCACGATGCGCGCGCTGCCGGCGGCCATGATGCGAGATGTAGGGCTGAGGGAGTATTCGCCGTCGAAATGAACTGGTAGAGGAGGACAGGGAATATTCTCGAGGACTGGAATGTTTCGCCGGCCGGAAGGGGGGCGGGGACTTCCAAAGGGAAAAACTCTCTTCGTCGATGTAGGGTAGGTATTGTCACAAGAAACAAAGGAAGGGTGGTTATTAAGTCATCACCGAACACTCAAATGCGACTGGATTAGATTCGCATACTTGAGCCACGTTTTTCTCAACGGGAATACGTAGGGACGTAGGGAGCGGGAACGAAAGAATGCGAAAGGGAAAAATATAAAATAAAATAAAAATGAACAAGTGAGATAAATGGAATAGGTAAAGCTGGATGTGAATACGAAGTTGTTACACCACGCACGTAGAAGTGGGATAGGGGTAGGTACAGTAAGGTACAAAATTGTACATACAATAAAACGTGTAAGAAGAAGTACTTGCAGGGTGTAGATAAGTTGATTCGAAATGGAAAGGAAAAAACGGAGGCGATAGATTAGAATTTCAGTGATAAATGGATCGACGCGTCAGTTGTGAATGGGAAGGCCCAGTCCCCTAGCAGTGTAACTGTGGCCCCCCCGTGCGACTGAACTGTACCTCAGATGTGACTTCCAATTGAATCAGTGTCCCCCATTTTTACCGGATACTAGGTTTATCACTAGGCGGCTAGGCCTCCCCGTATCATCTCTGAGAGCCTTAAGGGCTTGGCATTGCCGTACCTATCCCGCGCCGGGTCCCGTTATTGATATCCTCAACATGGAAGTATTTAACAGCGAAATACCGTAAAAATCTAAACTAACATAAAAATTATTTAGTCATTTCTATCAGCTCATATCTCGTGCTTTGCTAGATTCTCTGGAGCATAACTTGTGAGACGTGTATCCTTATATGCAACTTTCGAGGGGAATGTCTCAACAACCGGGGTAACCTATCAAGTTTGCTGAATACACAGGTTTTGGTGTAGTTTTCCGAAGTCATATCGCTTGGCTGCCTCCTTGTGCATGGGGATATCTCCTACATGCGTACGTACCTAATGTTCGCCTCGATGCTGTCCTATACATAGGTATGGGGCAGAGACATTCGATGTGCAGATTGTATTGTTAGTTCTAAGGCCCAAATACATAGCCTACCTAAACCCCATAGATAAATTCCTCTTAGCCTACCATTTGTCCGGCGGATGATCTAGAGACTAATGCTGACGTACCTCACCACGTAACGCAGTAAATACATTAGGTACAAATAAACGCGGTGAGGATTCTCTAAGAATATTAATTATAAATAAGCGATTTCCCCTTACCTGCGATGTAGAAGCTCGATCTATGTGCCCAAGTTGGTCGAATTAGAAGGAAGTAATTTGTGACTTGAAAATAAGTTGGATTCACCCACCCCAGGTCAGATAGTGTTTATATACATACGTGGGGAGTTTAGTTAATGGCTTCTAAAAGGTACCGGTACCCAACCATATACCTAGCAGCATCACGTGCTTCGGAGCGCATTAACTTGTAGCCCATTCCCCACCTTGGTGACTTGATTGGCCTAGCTGATGCTGTAGGGTCTTTGGTGGAAGCTGGTGGGTTCTTCAATTCCACCAAATCGCTTTGCGAAATGTTGCTGTATGGCATGTAGATACGTCAATCATCTCGATAGAAGTTGACGACGCTCTCTTCGAACAGCCTTACCTGCCCACTTTACGTTTTTCTCTCGCCGTGAATATTTTTTACGTACCGAGAGCTTCCTTGTGCAGCTACTACTTTTCTTGTTGATTGAACTATTTTCTAAATATTTTTGTTTCTCATTTTATCAGCTTTTACCTCTTTCGCCCCTCACAACCTCACGACCCGAGTTGTTTTCACACCCACATCATGATCCAGCAAGACCATTCGTTCTTCGTCTACCAAGTATTCCAGCTCTTTTAGTTGTAAGTCTTTCTATTAACCCATATTAACCTCCATGATCTATCCCAATACCATTCCGTCTTCTCGAGCACTATACAATCATACAATTTTACGCATTACAAAGGGAATATACCCTTCTATGCCCAACATCCTAACATCCCAACCCTTCTACTCGTCCTATGCTACCTCCTCCATCGTTAAATTCCAAGGTCCGCATAAAATTTTTGCGGGTTGGCAAACAAAGCACACTTTTTGTAACCATCCAAATTTATCACCCCTCCGCAGCTTTGACCATCCCACTTTAGCAACCTTATCAACCTTACGTAGCTTACTTACCCACCTTCTATAGTTTAAGACCAAAATTTCGCAAGCATTGCGAAGCTTGCAACCCCCGCCATGTCTTTCCACGCGAACTCCTCGCGCCATGATATGGCAGCTCCCGGTTTTGGCCAATCTTACGATCCTTTCGCCGATCTTTCGCGAAATGCGGATGATATTGATGAAGCTTTGGATTTCGAGGATACGTACGATGGGTTAGGTGATGGGTTGGACGAAACGGACGACGCTTTCAACGATGATACCTTTGGTGGCGGCGGTGGTGGTGACTCTAGTGGAGTGTCGCATGCGCCAGTTGGCAAGGATTTCGACTTCTTTGGACAGACTGCGAAAGTCGCGAACGCTATCGAGGAAGAACACCAGCGCTTCAGCCGTCAACAACCAGCTCCAAAATCGATCCCATCTTCCTCAGCACAGGCGTACAACTCAGGGTATGCCTATCAGCCAGCGCCTAAACCCGCTAGAAGTGGTTACGAGAAATACAAGTCGTCTGAACCTGTATCCGACCTTCAAGTTGACGCTTCAATATGGGGAGTCCAACCAAAGAAAGCTACTCCAGTAGCACCAGCTCAACCCCAGCCGACTGCACCACCGGCAGGTCGTAAAATGATGAGTCTAGAGGAGGTCGAGGCGGCGATGCGAGCCCAGGCAAAAGCTCCTACTCAACCCCAACAGCCTCAAGCCCAGCCTCAGGCTCCGTCGCTGGCTGGTCCTGATCTTCAAGCATCATTTCCCCACGCTCATTACCCCCAACAGGAGCCTATCGACTACCTACAGCAGCAACAATTCGACAACCGTCAACCCCAGGGATTCTATGCTCCCGAAAACCAGCAGCTTCCGCAAGGGACTACTCATGGACACCCTATAGCAATCTTGCAGCGACCATCTTCAAAGAGCATCCCATCTAGCGGACCTAGCGTGCCAAGTTCCTTGCCTCAGCAGCATCAACCTACTTCTATAGGATTCCCGACGCAGATACTACAGAACCCTAATCGCACACCTGGAGAGCCCGCTAGAATTAACTTGCCAGCTCATCCAGCTCATCCAGCTCATCGATCGCAGAACTCATTCACCCGCCAGCCTCAGCCTAGCGCAAGTCAAGCTCACCTTTCGAATTTATCCGAGCAGGAGAAGGCTTCCTTCCTTGAAGCTGAGGCAAGACGAGCCAAGCGTAACCATAAGATCCATGTTTTGTCGAAGGACAATGGCTTGATGACACCACAGGATAAAAGTTTCATTACCAGAATTCAACTTCAGCAGCTTGTCTCGGCCACTGGCGACCCTAGCGAACACGGAACCGATGCTGCTCTTGCGGAAGATTTCTACTATCAGGTTCTCAGCTCGTTACGAGCAGGACAGCGACCTAATCCGAATCAGCCTCTCAACAACTTTGCTCAGACGTACCTTTTCCAAACTGGTACTCGCCATGGAGGTATGAGACGTCAAGGACGAGGCCCGGAGAATCACATGCAGCGAATGGAACAGCAGGTTCAACGTGCTGTTGAGGCGGCCAAGAATAAGCCCAAGAACAAACAGCTGGTCATCGAAGGCAGCTTAGGAAAAATCTCGTTCAGCAACGCGAAGACGCCAAAGCCTCTACTGAACATTAAGCGGACCGAGAGCAGTACCGATACTAATCGACCCGGTAGCGGACATCGCTCCCATCCGACTACGGGTACCGACAAGAAGGAGACACTACAGAATATCGAGAAAGTCTACTTGACTCTGATGAAGATGGAAGATCTAGACCGCAATATGCCCCCCCCTCCGTCGAATGGCAATTCGGATCCAGATTTCGAGCGACGTGCTGAGATACAGCTACAGTTGCAACAACTAAATGAGCAGCTGTGGGCCGAGCTCAAAGTCCATGAGCCTATAGGCGCGACTTCTGTGCATCCTTTTATCGCCTTTTTGTCCTATCCTAAAGGCAAGAAAGCTATCGGCCGCGTGTTCAACCATATTACCCTCGAGCAGCAAACAACCATACTGACCATTATCGTCATCCACCTTGATCAACTCGATGTAGTCCGCGGTGCACAGGTACAAACCGGAGAACCCATCAATTTGAACGCCGCTACTCGCGAGAGCATCGAGCTGTTCATCGTGGCAGTCATGCCAAGTCTTCTCCACCTCTTGGGCAAATCGGAGTTGCATATTGTCACCGGTGTACTCGGATTGATAACCCAGAATCTCAACGTAGATCTTGTTGCTCGAACTCGGATTGGTGTCTCGATGTTAACCATGATCCTTAGCCGAGCCGAGCTCGCTAAGCAAGCTGGACAAGCAACTGAGCAGTCTTGGCAACAATGGTAAGGATAAAAGTGATCTCTCAAATTCCAGTAGCTAATTTTTTGTTAGGGTTGCAACTTTCAACCAATTCTTCAACGCCTTAGAACCAACTCTTCCCAACATCTTCCCGGGCACCGTGGCATCCGGAGAGGATATTTATGTGTGGCAATTCCTTGCTGCCATTGGCATAGGAGCCAGCCCAGAGGAACAGCAACGCCTCGTCCTTGCCGTCAAAGACCGTGTCATGGATACTGTCAATCTATCTAAGACTCTTCCTGCTGATATGGCAAAGACTCGCTTGGACAACGTCAACCTGTTTATGCGATCTATCGGTCTTGACGTCGAATTGTTGAACAACTAGACTAAACGTTACGATAGCCGTCTCGACATACTGTATAGTCTCATCCAGATTTATCGTCGGTTTGTTTGACCGAAGAAGACTTGGAAGGTAGGCACTGGATGTGAACACTCAACCGCCGCTGCTTTTGGCGGCTTAATGAGGCGCGAAGAAGTCCTTGCGAAGGGCCTCTGATAGATGGGCAAATGCTTGGCGCCCGGTATATGGGTAGCGAACGGTGGAATCTATCCGAATTCTCACGAGTTCATGATACCCGGATTGGCTTAGCGATGAGGTCTGGAGATGATGCGGGCCAATTTTGTGGACGATGGTTCTAGACTCCTACGGGGAGGTGTGTGCATAGATAGTTATATCGTGAGGACAAGGCATCTAATGCCTATATTTTGTGCCATAACGATAGTCAAGTTCCGAGCCCTACTAGGCACTCGTGATACTGTTATACGTTGGTGCTAGTCCTACAGATGTGCATAGGTAGCTGAGCTGTTTGTATTGCGTGCAATAATTCTGAGCTATTGTTAAAGCCAAACGAATACCAAGTGTGCCAGAAAATCAGTCGTTGACGCCGAGCAATGCAATATAACCTAACCTACAGGTTTGCCCCTTACACCTCTCCTGGTTGCAGACATATTAACCAGCTTAATAGTCGTGACTCCCCAACTTCCATGCATGCCTAATAGGTAGGGGACCAGTGGCCTTAAACTTAGGCTCTTGAATTCAACATCCACATTACCTTCGGGTTTTTCATATCCTTCTCTATCAGCCATTCTTCAAGCTGCTACTAGCCATAATACAACACGGGACCGAAAACGCTTTTGCATCCCTCTTGTAGGTACCATGTATTATCAAGGGCCTCGAATATGAGAAAGGAATTCTTCCTCGCTCCATTGCGCTTTAAACTTGTCCTTCGACGCGTCGTCTTCCGCCGTACTCGGCTTCACCGTCTCCTTCTCTTTCCCCTTGCCCTTGGCGTCCGCCAGGGATTTGGGATTAGCCGCCCCCGGGTATACGAGATAGTTGGTGAACATGTTCCAAGCTTTATCGCTGTCTTCGTCCTCGTATTTGAGCTTGGACCATGGCTCGATCTGGACCTTACGCAGACGTTCGATCATCGTGTCCACTACCAGCTCCCCGTTCTCAGTGCCCCCCGCACTCTTGATCGACATGTGGATCGCCTTGGCCGCACCGGTACCTGCTTGTGTTCCACTGCCGGTCGCACTACTTTCTTTGCCTGCGCCCGCTGCTGGGCCTGGTGCCGCCATGCCCTCGCGCGGACGGCTCAGGCGTTCCTGTTCGGTGTACGCATCGAGGTGGTGTAATTGCGGGCGCAGGTGGATTAAAGATGAGACGGGGGTGAGATGTAATTGATCTGATATTCAGACTCCTGTTAGCCGCAAGTGTCGGCAAGTGTGCATCCGGTAAACAATCAATCGACTCACCTCCTTTGAAAACGCCGACCATCCATCTGCAATTCGTCTCCTTCTCGATCGCGAACTGGCCGCCCAGGGTCTGCGTCCTAAGAACTTTATCCTGGCGCACAGCCTCGCTCCAATCAAGCATGCTGAGCTCCCGCTCCAAGTCATCCGGGCGCTTCCCGGCTGCGCCGCGGCCCCCTCCGGCTGCCGCCGCGCCTCTAGCAGGGACGCCGACGCCAAAGCCGCCGGCGAGACCGTGGGACCCGCCGTTCTTGGCCGCGGTGCTGCGCGCCAGGGCACTACCCCAGCGCAGCCCCTTGTCGCGGTCGTAGTCGGCGTGGCCGTGGCTCATGGGCACGTCGACCTCGATGAAGCCGGCTTTGTTCTTGACGCGCACCTCGCTGATCTGCGTGTACGGCGCGCGCACGGGGCCTTGTCTATTGGGGTGCTGTAGAACGAGCAGCTTGCGGTTCTCGGGGAGAGGGGGGTTCGCGTAGATGTCGTAGCTGGCGATTATGGGATCGGGGTCGTTGTCGTTCTCGCTGTCGACTTCGATCGCTTTTGGCTTCGAAGCCTCCGTGTCGATTTCCATTTCCATTTCTGCCATTGTAGCTCGGTTGATTCGTATGGAGGGAAGTGAGGGTATATATGAGTCAGCTCATTTTACAAAGATATTGTTCAAAAGGTAGCTACCTCTATGAAAATATGAAAATGTTTGGTTATGTAAGTTGTAAGTTGTGGACATTCGCCTGCATTGTCTGATTGTGAAGTCGGCAAGCTTAATATTAAATGACTTTTTTGGCGGGGCATATGCTTATCGGTGAGTGTGGGGCTTATCTAGATCCTAGCTCTCTCCAAAGGTTAGGGGTCAGAAAGGCGTCAAAAAAAGTGGCGCATCCTACTAGATATACTGAAAACACACCAACTTCTAACAGGTATAACCTCATAGATTTAAGGTTAGAGAAATAATGAAATTTACAGTTAAAAAGCCCCGAGCATGGCTTATTTAGCCATATGTTTCATTTGAAATTAGGTTTACATATAGTGGTTTAAATGGAGGTGGTTCATCTTTAATGTTTGATACTTTACACTAATAATATCACTTATACTTACGCAACACATTAAATGAAAGGAATTAAAAAAAAAACTAGCTAGCTAAGAGCTAAGAGCTACATTTCATTGTAGTATTTTCTTCGAATTTTTAAAGGTGTGTTTGGGTGTAGAATGACTTTTTAAAATATACTGCTTTTGTATGTGCTGACAGTGGTGCGCCAGCTTTTTTGACGCCTTTCTGGGGGTCTGTGTATTCCGTATTCCGTACAAGGTTTCTATACTACCTAATGTATTGCCCAACTTGATATTCTCAAACGCCTACATGAATAAATGCCAAAAACACCAAAGCCCTAAATTGATTATTAGATCGACCCGTGGAATACCAATGGTGACTCTCAAATATTTTATAAAGGTTGCTTACTTCCAACACAGGTAACTTCCCATATTAAGAAATCTAAATATAACATCAAATTTACATTTACACTTATTAAGAGTTAAACATGAAAAACGGAAAGTAAAGAAAGAATATATCTTTTGATATGGAGATACTTGGAATAGTGACAGCTACTCGGATATAGACATTTAATTTAGTTTACGTTCTTGAATATTCTGTTTTCACGGCTTACACAAGGATAGGCCTCGGACTTGGATATATATGACTGTATCATAGTTGCTCTATTCTTTATTTTATAGCCCAGACGTAAAGAGGATAGGTAGTCTTTAGGTATTATATCTATAAGAGGAACCCTAATAACCTCTAAAGTTTTCCACTGAACTAAATTTAAATACATGGCATTCTAGTTAGTTAGGTACTAGCTATTCATTCGTTTCCTATGTCTTCAAGTGCTAACTAGCTATAGTCAACAAATTAAGACTTTAAAAAGCTTCAAAGCATGCCACTTGAAGAACGGAATAAAAGCCCAACAAATCGGATTCAATAGATAATGTACCGTGGCTGGTTCGCACTTAAGGACATAAGCAACCCTATGATGATATATGAGGTATATGCCTATCATTCCTTCTACAAAACCCACATAATCCTTACTGTTCGAAAGCTCTCTGTCAAATATGCATAAGCACCTAGGTACATAATAGGAGATAGTTATCTAACCAGGCTCTTATATTGGAGTGTAAACTAGTTGCCTTACGATGTCCGTTACTACAGTTCGGTTAGAAATCTCATGGCATGAAGTATAGCCTTTCCATACCCGATCAATCATCACAAGTATTGAAATTGAGTTGCTATAAATTGAGGAGCGACTATATTATGAGACTACATAATATGGATGCTATTGTTTTCACATGAGTCGAGCTGAGCGTTTCTTATGTCAAAGTACATCATCCGAATAGTTAGTTACTTGAGCTTCAATGTTGTTACTAATATATGGAGATGATGCCTTTGAATTTAACCAAGTAGCTTAGCCAAATTGGACATAATTAGTAGTCATCATAAAGTTGGCATTATCAAGCGACCGTTATTCTCGCAGTGTATCTCAGTTATAAGTTAATACAACTTCGGCCTCTTTTGATATCTACTTGGGAATAGATTCGGAATATGTATTGGCATCATTAGAACTCAAGGGGGGTATTTCAGGTCGAATTTGTGAATACCGGCCCAGTACACCAATCGATGGCCGAATCATGACCCCAATATAGCCGAATTAAGGGATGCTATTTCTAAGACACCAATAATCCACATTAGATGCGAAGGTCAAATCAATTGTTATGGTGGCTGTTAGCTGTGGTTTACAGTAATTTGACGCTTGCTGCGTAATTCCTTTGATAGGAGTAAGACCTTTGCTTCTCGTGGTAATGGGTTACGGCTAATATAACTATGAGTGATATAGTTATGACAATTCCCCTTACTGTCATAAGTCTCTACAGCCTGCATACTGCATAAGAAGCAAAGACACGAGAAGTCGCTATTGTGCGCGGCATTGGTGGCGCCTCAGGTTAGTTGCCTAAATAGGAAGTTTCCCCTTTCATTTTGTGGACTTAGTTGTGTCGATCATTTTCAATTTGTCTTAAATCTCGAGTCTGGTCTTATTAGAAGGGCTTCGTATTTAGATCTTATGAACATTTCATTGGATTAACTGATCATGATGTCGAATGTAGATGGCTTGAAACTAACTCAGATAGGTGCGTCTCCGTCGCAAGAACGGTAGCAAGTTCCGAGTATCTTTTATACTCAGTCTCCATAGCTAAAATAGTTCAGCCTAAGAGTTCCGTCCTTGAGGATCTGCTATGTAAGTAAGCTAGGTACTCAAAGATTGCTTCAGTTTAGTTCCGCTCGTTTTGGATATTGCTTATTTTTCTAGGTAGATAATGTTCGTAAATTCGACGAAATCAGGGAACGAAGCGCAATTCATAGGCAGCTCTCGATATCTGGATGGGCTAACTATATTATGAGTTACAACCTGAGAGTACGCTACGTCTTCATTCTGTGGCTGGCCTTCTATCGTAACAAGGTGCTGCAAGTCTTACAACCTCTAAGGTGTTTCGTTTCCAATTGACTTAGAACTCCAAACATGAATGGCCAGAACATGCGTGGAACACTAACTACAAGGCTGGATCACAGTGATATTTTAGACGCAGCCTCAAACTAGCGTGCAAGCTATTGGAACATGATCTACTACCTCCAGGAGCCAACCCCCATACTACAGGGTCGGATCTCCGAACATGAACGGGAAATGTAAGATTCCCATGATAATGGGAACTTATAAAAACCCAGCCGAGTGCCATTCTCTGTGACATATTCTCACTATCCACATTCGCATCATCTTCTGCATCTTTCACACCATCTTCCTCACCCGAAGAAATAGTCGCTCGTTACTCAGTCGCTCGTTACTTATCACACTCGTGTCAAAAACAATCTTCAAGATGCAGATCAAGAATTTCCTCCCTGTGGTTCTCGCTGCCGTGGCTACTGCCAGCCCGGTGGCCAACCCCAACTACAAGACTTCTACCCCAGAGGCCAAGTACCCAGCCACCACCCAGAAGGCTCACTACGCTACGTCTACCCCGGAAGCTCACTACCCCACAACTACCGAGAAGAAGGTTCAGTATCCGGCCTCCACCCCGGTGGCACAATATCCGACGACCACGGAGAAGAAAATGGAGTATCCGACTTCGAAGCCAAAGGCCCAGTACCCCACGACCACAGAGAAGAAAATGGAGTACCCGACTTCTAAACCAAAGGCCCAGTACCCAACGACCACCATGGAAACTCACTACATCACGACCACGGAGAAGAAGGTTCATTACTCAACCTCTACCCCTGAACCTCACCACTCGACCACAACCCAGAAGCACAAGGAACACAAGGAGAAGCCAACCAAGACCAAGTCTTCTCACAAGCATGAGAAGACCAAGCACGCTAAGGAAGAGCATCACAAGGAAGAGCATCATAAGGAAAAGCATGATAAGGAAGAGCATCATTCCAAGGAGACCAAGAGGGGCTATCCAGCCAAGTACCCGGCGAGCACTCCGGTATCTCCTGGGTACCCAACTGCCAGCACTTACCCTCAGGGTGGCAATGGAGGCTCGGGTGATCATGGTGGTTCAGGTAGCCAGGGCGGCTGGGGCGGCCTCGCGACAATCTGCCCTTTAGGTAACACTGTATGTGACATCGAGACCTTCCATCCTTTCTCCTTTCCTCTTCACAGTATTGGCGTGGCGGTCATGAATCCCAAAGAAACTTCGCTCGGGAGTGTACATACGCAAAATGGCTTCGACTTCAGAATTTCCTCGTTGAAACAATTGCTAACCTCTATCGTAGCCTCTTTGCTGCCAAGTGGACATCGATGGTATCCTGGACCTTACCTGCTCGAGCCGTAAGTTTAAATGATCCTATTGCTAGTCCATATAACACTTCACTGACATTTCTACAGCCGGTCTGGTCCTCAACGACCTCAACTCTATTGAGGAATTCGAAAGTACCTGTGCAGAGACTGGGCTCACGGCCGAGTGTTGTGTCCTATCCCTCGCTGGTGATGCCCTGCTCTGCACCACTGTTTAGGATGAAAACTTGCAACGAACTTGACACTTGCATGGGGGATGACTTACTGATGAACGATTGGCTTGGGGAATTCATAGACGTCTACCGGTCGAGCGGCTATTAAAGCATCTAGTCCATTTTGACACCTTCATTTCTGTAACATTCTTTAGCATCGGCGCTTGGTCGACATATTTTTTGGCAGTACTGTCTTCTACATACTTTTATTCTATTTAGCTTTTACCATTCTTAACGAAATAGAGATTCATGGACACTCGGCTTACTTACTTCACTTCCTAATATTATTGACATTATCCATGATGAAGTGTCTTGTGATCTATGAAATATCCCATGCTTCAATGATTATGCTTTTCAGTAAGGGGTTACCAAGTTCAATTTAGAACCCTCGAGCAAACAACAAGACCTTTCCTCCTACAATGATGAAAGCTGTTGTGCATCCTTATGCATCCCGATATTTGGAGATGAGTGGAATGTGCGTATTTCAAGTCCATGATGGAAGTAATGTTTGCTTTCGGGTAGCTTCCAACGTGATACGCCTTCACAATAAACTTTATTTGGAGATACAAGCAGCGCAATAGCGTGGGACCGAGAGAAATCACTACAAATTGCCAGAGATGAATAAGGGATGTTGGAACTATTACTAGACCTTACATCGATAATCCTTCGTAATTGATCCATAGCCGCAGCCCGTACCAGATGCTAATTAAATATATATTAAATATGCATGCTGACCAAGTATTCCCCAGGACGTCGTAGCAATGTAACCAACGTATACCTACTGTGAATGCAATTTAGGAGAAATTTCCAGTACCAACATGAACAGAACCATGGCAGCGGGTAAAATCCTTCAGGGATTTTCCCATCACAACGTTCTAGGCAGATTCCCGAAATGCAGACAGGACTGGCGGCTCAGGGGTACTGTGATAACCACCTGCATTGTATTAGTTGGATGTTAGGGAGGGAATAGAAGTCCAATAGCCACAACAATGCTCGCAACACGTCACGTAGTATTCAAGTCGATCAAAATATTATTTAATTATCAAGGGCTTATAACGGACGGCAAACTATAATCACCACGTGTACCTATCATTAATAGCAAACGATATGATGTACTTCGATTGAATGTTCAGTTGACCCTGGGGTGTTTTCAATGTTATCATCTCGAGAACTTCGAAGTAATTTACAGCACGATTTACTATTAGAGTTGCATATAGTTGGATACCATTGGTCTATAATCATAATATACTTATTTTTGAGAACAATAAGTAATAAAATCCGAATTTCTACAACTTTCCGTGACTATAGGATTAGTCTTTTCTTAAGGGCTTAATCCCTCAAGTTTTTATTTATTTTGATTTTATGTTTTTCGAAAGACTATAATTCGAGTGTATTATAATTAGTTTATTTAGGTCTACTCAAGATTGAACTTACACTCGAGTCAATTAGAATGCGTGTATAAGTCCTATTGAAACACAACTCTTGTCGAAAAACTAGGTATGAACTAGATTTTACTTCTGGCTATTCCTGTTTCAATCTATCCGTCTCTATCACCAACATATCATACAGTACCACGTAGGCAATCCCGAAGCCAAGTTACCAACAAGCAATGACTTCGTCAACGGGTTCTCCAGAAACATCTTCCAGCCACCCCCACTCAAAACTGCATATCCGCAGTGTTCTAAAGTTGTTAAAGGGATGCTACTATGTAAAGTCGACATATACTCAAATGCAACCCTTGCCTGATTATACCTTTACCTACCTAACCTGACTATACATGCATGGCTTAATTCGGTACTGTTACTCGTGTACGTTTCTATTCCTCATATGGCAGAATTGCTGCTTTACTCCATCTGCGGTACCACCACTGACACGCACACCGCAACATCCCACCAACGTCCGTTCTAAGTAGCCCCAGCGAAGCGTGTTCCAGAAAAGATCTGGATCATCGCACAGAGGGGTCATGGGTGTATTGTACATACAAACTCCCCCCAAAATCGGTGACAACCGCGGCGTGCGCGCGTGGGTTGAAATTCGGACGGCTGGGGATGTGGGACCCTGAAGGACCCAGCTATTTGGATGGCCGCGGAGTATGGCCGCGGAGTAAAGCCCGGGAGAGCTGACAGTTGATACGGCTTGCATACATGTACGTATATGTGTACGTACTACGTACGTATCTATGTGTGCGTGTAGTGATCTTAGTTAGTTCAGAATTATTGGCCGAGAAGTTCTTGACCGAAACGGCAAGCAGGCTACTAGAGTAGGGCCGCAATTGAGATAGTTTAGATTGACGAGTAACAGCTTTTGTCCAAGGCCTGTATAGTTGGGGGTCCCTACATAGACGAGAGAATTTCCAACGATGCCGAGACTGGACTGTTGGCAGTTAAAGGACCACTTGCTTGCATATACAGGTAACTAGGTAGGTAACTTATCTCCTAGCATTATCCTAGGTTACGTCCGTCACCCACTTGGGATGTACCTAGCAGGGTGTTCATCCCATTGTTACCGACCGGGCCGTAATGTATAAACCAGATAGCCGAGGGATTCGTTATCTACTAGGTTAGGTACCTCTTAATAAGTGAGCTTGTCTGCTTTTACATACATAGGTACCTACATATAAAACAGTTGGAGTTAATGTATTTCTCCATTCTTAAGATACATGTAGGTAATTGTTAAATGCGTGTATATTCTATATTTAGGAGTAGTTCATAATGAAAAGAAAAAGAAAAAGAAAAAGTGAGATATGATTAGGTTAGGTCCATGTATGTGACACGTTGTTACCTCGGGAAGAATAATTACACGATTACCTAAAGCAATTACTACCTCCTATTAGGTTTAGTAGGTATTTCAGGGGACCTGACCCGATGTTACACTGCCTTACCATTTACCCCTCCCTTCCATTCTTTGATCCACATCACTTTCTGCACATAGTAAATAGCTTCATTTCTTTACGCAGTAGCTTCAATCGCTGTTATCCCGATTCGTACGCTTGTAACTAGGAATTGAGCTTGATAGGAAAGATTTAGGTAAGAACAATTGATACCGAGGTCATATTAGTCTCACTTGTATAGGCATCGTCTCTCTGATTTGAGAATCCATCTTGCCCGCCTACGTTGAACCAGCCTTATCCAATTCAGCCTCGTACCTAAATGTGTAGCTAGCCAAGGCTACCTACCTGTTAGTCCCGGCTCCTACATATGTACCTTGTCAAACCCTTGCTCGAGTCTATACTTATTCTAGCTAGCCTCCACGACGTGTTTGTACCGGTTCACGATTTAGTTCGGCGCTATAGGCTCTTATTTCCACGTCGGCATGGCAGTTGATCCAAGAGTTGCGGATATCATCCGCGGCAAGAAGTTGCACTATTGCCTATGTGCTGACACTAGCCGATGGCACCTTTTTGAGAACGTGGCCCTGCCCGATGCTACCTTTTCCTACTATGATATGGACGGGTCTTTACTGGGCAGAGACGGGGTTGACTGGAGTTGGCCTACAAGGGATGAGTTTGTAACCTATTACGAAAAGACGTTCAGCAAGAGCCAGACTATACACTCTGTAGGTGCTTCAGCTTTCGAGCAGATTAGCCCAGATGAAGTGAAAGCTACATTCAGCGTCATTTGTCGGGTCGCACTGGACGAAGAAAAGCAGGGAACGGGCGGGGGGTATTACTTCGAGACGTGGGTTCGGAAGGATAACGACTGGTTCATGAAGTCTTTAAGATTTGAAAGAACCTATTGGCACGTATAAGGCTTTATCTCTGGGTATCCAATTGAGTACCTAGGTAGGTAGGCAGTCTCAATCGAAGATTGATGGCCAAGTCTTGGCATTTTGAACCTCGCCAAGACTTGGCCATCAATTTTCGATTGCGACTGAATGTCAACTCCTGAGCGAGCAGCAATTATGACGGATTTTTGATAGCTAAGGTTATGAAGGGAAAACGCAACCATACCTTAAGTACAATACTTTCTACGATATCTGGGCGTATATCTGCTTTGTAGGTTTGGAGTTACCTTATGATGGAACTGAATTGCCTGTTTTACTATTTGTCTCCTCTTTATCTCGATCTAATTAGCGTTCCTATGTAAGAGAAGTGTATTGAGTTTTTTCTAAACGAAGTATATACCCGTGCCTTACCATAGTAGCTCGCATTTAGGAGATGTGTAGCTATCTGACACCGTGCGTCGCTTGTTGGTCGCCATTGTTTCCAGGTAAGCAAGGGTCATATGGAGTATGGAGAAGCAATATAAAAATGGTCTATTCACTTTCATGATCTCATACTGTGTAACAATAGCTCTTGACAACTTATAGATAGTAGCTCATATTTAAAGCTTCCCCACGATAAACTGTTGGCGCAATTTCCTCACGGTTAGATGGATCTTACGCCCCCCTCACATTCCTACCTTGTCATTATAAGTGCAACTAATACTCACCGCTGACGTGCCAATGCCAATGCGAATGCGAATGCAAATGCAAATAGCCCCGGCCTCAAATACGGGCTCCGGTCTTTGATACTATCGCGTCTCCTCCTTGGAGATAATTCCGCGGGAATTATGTACATACCGCTCTACTGGGCGCTCTATGCAGTACGGAATGTTGGTAATAATTGTGTAACTAACGCTCGAGTTCAAGTTGGCTATCGTTATAAGTACCTAAGGTACTTGATATATACATGGGTCTGCGCAATCGTATGGAATCTTAGATAACCGAAGCGTAGTATCGGGGGCTGGGCCGAGTCTGCTGACTATGATCCTCGCCGAGACGGGATGGTTAGGAAATGGAATCCCCCGGCTGCTTCGGCCTGTACATACATACATACATGCAACATTGCTTCGGTCTTAATATTCTAGAATATGCCTGTCTGAGGTATCCATGCGATAACCATGCAGCCATTTGCCTGCCGACCGCCATTATCCTCGCAAATTTGCTTCCTCTGTTCCTATACGATGACGAGCTAAGCTGAAGCAACCTCGCCGCCCCCTCTTATCTACCTTGCCACATGATAGCTTTTACGTCAGACTTCAATGTAACCTCTAAATTCGAAACTGTTGACTACTATGTATGAGGCTCTGATGTGCTTATAATACTACGTCTGATTATACACCGCTTTATACTAGGTAGCTTGATGTCTGGACGCGGCACTACAATGTCAATTCGCATACTAGGATTGGTTAATACATAGCACACAGATAGTGCAGATCTGGCCCCAGACGGATAGGATGTGCTTACTGGAGCTAGCAATCTGACGATCCAGTTCCCATCCGCAAACCACCGTTGTGGGTGGGCTAGCCTGAAACGGGAAGGATCGCTTCAAAGAAGAATCTGGATTTACAGTGGGTGGGTTGAAGCAGGATCTCTCTCCGTGGTGGTTTGATTGGGAGGAATTTATGGGATGATAATCAGAAAAATATTCTACTTTCCTTTCAGTTATAGCCGAACGTATCTCACCGCTCAAGGGGCGGATCTCTAAACAACTAACGTATGTTCTGTATGTACCTCTAGGTAGGTATGTAGGTTAGTATGTAACCTGCTCATGTTGAATGATAATACGCTACGTTATGGAAATATCTAACTAACTACCTATGTACATGTGAATGTAAGAACAAGATCTAACTACTAATTAGGTATCTAACTTAACATATGTTTCGTGAGTTTCAAATCTAAATTTTGCGCTACGCTCAGAATATCCCAACATCACAACCCCAACCCCCTTCTCGGCTGGATTAGCTACCTAGGCAGCTAATGGTGCTGACCGGTGTGAACGCAGTCAATTCCCCTGTATTCGAAATACTTGTTCCATTCAGGATCGTTGATTAACCCATCAGCCAACCTCGTCTCGTACGAGATGCTGAGCTCAGGACCCTCGTCTGATTCAGGCGACCTGTCGCGCGGCGGGTACACAAATGTAAGATTCGCAGTAACCACATCGATGACATGTCGATATCCGATCGGCTTGCCGAATCCAAAATCGCACAGGGTGACCTTGACGTCACGGTGGTCAGTCTGGAGGTTTGACAATGGTGGAAAGGAATCTGTGCGGGTCATCAATGCTGGCTTATCACGTATCGGTGCTAGCTGGTTAAGCACCTCATCCACACGCTCTGGGGTTACTTCGTTGGTCATCTGACGAACGTATTGCGCCAGCCTGGACAAGGGCCATTCTGAAATGATCTGCGCAACAGTTGGCTGTTGGACATTAGTCATGGTGGTTGAGGCCACGAAGTACACATTTCCTTGCATGCGGGGTGGACACTTTGGGGTGCGAAGCCGTCTGCGCATATCCATGGATTGGCCCCAGGCGATATTCGACGACATATCCGGCTTAAAGAAGGGAGCACGAAGCCGGGTCGTCGTACGAAAGAGGAATGCTATGAAGGCATCATAGGTTGAGATCCAAGTACCGTCGTTGGGGCTAGCTAGCTTCTTCAACTCGGCCGCCTTGCTCCTAGGTAGGTGAAACAAGTACATCGTAGACCCAATATGATCTGGGTGACGCTGGGGCTGAGGAGGGCCATCAATCATCTGGTCCTCGGGCGGTAGATCCTTGATAAATTGCGGGACGCCAAAATGGTCATCGCTCCAAGGAGGAAATGGTGTGTTATTCACGATAGCGTAGCAATTATCGGCCAATTGCTCTACAAATCCAGACATGCCCATCACATCGCAGGCGTAATGATGAAAGTGCATATTGAGGACTAGGCCACCACGAATGAAGTTAGCCTTGAAGGCCGAAATGATGGGGTGGTTGTCAGGGTGTGCCTCTGGCTTCTCCCCGTATGTCATGGGTTCGACACTCCACATCTTGAGGTCGCCCATAGCCACGGATCCAAAATGAGCCTTTTCGAGATCCTCAAAGGACGGATATTTATCCTCATCCTCAGGCGAGTCGAGCCATTGAACATGAAAAGGAACTGTGCTATCCTTCTTCTTGATGAACACGTGACCACCCTTCTCTTCATCTTTCTCAATCGTGCCGATGATATGTCTAACTTGCGTAATAGTCCGCTCGAGGCCAGCCTTCAGCGCAGAAGCAGCCAATGGCTTCTTATCATCATCCAACCTAAAGAAAACAGCATAGTTTGTATAGACGCAAGCGGCCAAATAGTCGAGTGTGGTTACTTTTCGAATTTCTACTTCTGGGTCGCTCTCCCAGCCGTTTGGGTGAAGCTGGTAAATGTCTTGCTTTGGCATGGTTGCACTGCAGGGAGTACCTAGGTAATGTAGGTGTGATTTGATAATTGATTTGTTAATAATAAAAATGCAACTAGTGTAATATGCAGTATCTACAGTATCTGCAGTACTAAGTAGCTGCAGGTACGGCAAACGAGCTGAGAGCAGATAGGAGAATAAAAAAATAGCTTGTGGAAACGTGGAAATAGGCTTCACGCCACAAGGTATATCAAAAATTGTCCGAATGGCTTGTTTTTGCCTATTTCGAATTTCGAATTTCGAGAACCTGGCTTAGTGTAATATAAAACTAGGTAAGACTCCAATTTTCGCGTCGCTAAAGATAATGAAATCCTTCCTGTTACATACTTCTCCGTCAAGGGATTAATACGGGTTTTATATAACTCGGTTAAATGCCGTATGACTCCAACAAGAAATTCCCGAGTCTTTGCAGGTGAGAAAAGTTTACGCGATGGGATGAACCCGCGGAAGTGGCTAATAGGGGCAAGAAGTGCAGAGTTCTCGCCTATGTAAGCCAAGGGTATGGTTCCCTTCAACCCATTTGGCCCACTTCCCGCTTAGAGAAGCGGTATCGCGATCCCATCATGGCTTTGATCGTCCAGGGGGTGGCTAGCCACATCTCACCGTACAATTGCCGGAGGCACAGCGTCGCGAACTTCGAAAAATGTCGAAAAAAGTTGGAAGAGAGAGTCTTCTTTCTAGATGACTTCGGTGGTGGGCATTAGGAGAATTATATATGTCCTAATTTTCCGTACGGTCTGTCAGTAGTGCGGAAATCGGCCGGTCCTGAACTTAACTGGAGTTTGGTAGCGAATGGAGAATTATAGCTAGTTTGCTGCGTTTGATTCGGAGGAATTCCGAGTTTGGGGGTCTAATGCGTAAGACCCCTGTTCGAGTCCTTTGAGATATCGCGAGCTAAACTTCTAAGAGGTAGTTAGAAAGTACGAAAGTAGAAATATGATCGTAATTGTTCAGCAATCAAAAAGATTTTTGATGATTGATCCTATTATTTCTACGAGGCGCTTTATATCCCAGAATATGAAATATGCGTAAGGAGTAGCCTCGCAAGGACTGCTCCTCTTGTTACTTTCACCAACTCGTGCGTCTGCGTATTCTTGAGATTGAGCCTATGGCCGTTCTTTACATTAGATTTTCATTTTTGATTGGTTAAATAGAAAATACGTTGAGAAGAATCCGGGGAATCGCTCGTATAAGAACTTAGTTATGGATCTCAACGGACCTACCCTTTAACTACTACTTAGTACGTATGACTTCTAATAATTAGCTTGCATAAACCGCGGATATGTTGTATATTGTCTTTCTACCCTTTTTATATTCCTTCGAAATTACTAGAGGCTATACCGAGCTAGAAAAATATAGCTTGATGAAAGTATGTTTTCTGTCAATATAACTATTAAATACCTATTCTCCGGTTATAACGTTGCTTTCTTGGGATAGGGTCCTCTTGGAAGGATATATCTTATATTGACAGTTGCTAATATATTGTTCATCTTAGTATGGTTTTTATTACGCTGGCTGCTCGCCTTATGAACTATTCGAAACTGAATTTTTATAGCGGTATCATTGACTTTGTGTAAGCTAAGGCTTCTACTATTTTAAGCGCTTTTTTAAGCACTAGTTAGTGGGACACAGGATCTTATACTAACAGCTTATGTAAAAGTCTAAGACAAAAATAACTAACTTTCGCTTAGTGGACCCTCATCTTCAATATCTACTATTAATCTGTGATGCCGCGTTTAGAATCGGCTAATTATCTTGATCAAACGGCGTCGGATCTGCGTGTCTAGGAGTAGCTGGCCGACGAATTGTTTACGATGGGGTGCTTTCATCGTTATATTTGTCCAAGTTGGGACGGGAGCCGCAGTTATAATCGTAGTGAGGCTATAGTGTACCCCACACCGGGCCATCTGGGATATTACTGGTGTATTCCCCTTTACAACCTCCAAGCCTCATCGGCTACTTCAACTAGCGTCTGGCATTACAACATTCTTACTGCCACAACATTAATTTGGGAGCTCCAGATGACGTGGCAAAAGAGACTCGGCGTCTCGGTCATATTCGATATGAGTTTGCTGTAAGTCCATGACTTAAACCTCCTATCATTGCCTAGCTTGATTAGCAGACCAACGCTAGGGATACAATAGTGCTATGCTTCTCGGCCGCGGCGAGGTTGACGATGACATGTGTTCTTTGTTGCCTGTGTGGCTCCTAGGTATACCGAAGATTGTTCGAGAGTCAAAACGCTTCCCTGGATTTAAGAGAGCTTTGGGCATAACGATGAAGTCGCAGTCAGCCAAGGCCATCGACAGGTCGGTGAATTTTGGCGGGATATCCACCACTATAAGCGCTTATCGTAAGCCAAATGAATATTCCATATAGATGGGAAACATGAGAGGAACAAAATCTTCCGACAAACTGGAACAAGAGCCACTAAGATTGACTATCGTTAGCACGACGCATGTTACTATTACTCAGAACTCCTGTTCGGCCGTAAATATTGGGACTGGCGGCGTGCATATTGTTGCGTGGTGTATGTAGGGGTTTGAAGGCGCATATGAGTGATCGTGGCGCTTCTGCCTCTGATGGAGAATGATTTAGATCTTGACATCTCACGGAGTTGAAGTTTATGGAGTGTTGGTAGGCCATACAGGGAAGCCCGGGTACCGGTATTGATTTCTCTTCGGATTTGCTGGAAGTATAGGTGGTTGGTTCGTCGGGGTTCATTTGGGATTTGGGGATATCTTGTATAATGTCTTGTTACGCACATACGCAATCGAATATTACAGAATGATAAAATTTACCTATTATATTACCTTCTATATATTAAGGGATACAACGTACCGAACATACGTTATTGTAGGTGTATATGTATAAGAGCGGCCACCTACTATAGTGACGCATGCGCGAGTGTTACATGGCCCCTCCTTGTAGGAATGCAAGGAGAAGAAAGGTTGGATGGTCATATTCGAAACATCAGAAAATATAAGTTCGATCGTATTATTGTTTGATTATGATAAGGTACCTTATATATGCGCTAATGCAGGTTGCGCGTGGACTCGACTTACATATTACTCGTGCAGATTTTGGGATATTGGAGGATGCATTTCTTGCAATATACATGTAAGTACATGTAAGTACATTGCGCAGGTAGACGTTCCCCGACCCGACACCTATAGTACCACCTATGTAGTGTAGCTCGGGAAGTACAGGGAAGGGGTAATACCCGAGACTTCGGGCTTACTTTCATATGTGTACCTAGGCAGAATAACGCCAAAAAAGGTGCCAGTTATTTTGACGCTATTCTGTTAGGTTAGATAGTTAGATAGGTGTTGTCCTCTTTCGAAGTGCCATTAAGCGTCGTTAACCCGATTAGGCAAACACGTTTTCGCTAAGTATCCCTATGCTTATTAGCGTAATTAACTATCGACCTCACCTGACCAGCGAGCCAGGCTGTAAAGTCCAAACTGAGTGTCCAAAGTAACGCTGACGGGGTGTATTCTTATTAGCTTGATGATAACATGTAAATTTCAGTTGTGTAGCAATGCAGATGCGAAAGGATAGGGATGATGATACAAAAGAGAAAGAATGTGGTACTAAGTTATGGATATCATGATAAAAGGTGGAGTGTTCCGGCCTCCGCGTGGTGATTGCCGGTTAAAACCCGGGCCGCTTTACATGCGGCGCGTCAAGTCTGTCATGTGCTATCCCAATTTCTTTTAGCAATGGTAAATTATGGGTTTTTGTATTTTCAAGCATTAGGTAAATTTTATTTCGGGACTTTCAAAATTCAACATACCTCATGTCATTGCACTGTCTAACCATCTGACCACCAAAGCAATACTTTCAGCCTATCAAAATTCATTAAACAGCACGGATGTACCGATAATCTAAGTAAAGCACGAACTACCTCTGCGATAGGATGGATCTCTCTGTAAGGTGGCATGCATGGAAATTTCCATTCTTCTCAGGTACCTAATCGTTCTAAAGCCATGCTAAACCAAGTCTAATACATAACGTACCTAGGTAGCTAGTATGTATAATCGTCCCTCAATGGTGTCCAATGATCCATCCAATGGCCCCATGGGAGATGTTACGCACACGAATGCAACCTGCAAAGTTCATACATAGGTACATACATAATGTTGTGGACTCAAGTGAATTGGGTGCTGTATGTATGTAACCAAATCCTCTGGGCCAGGGTTGACTTACGTCAATTGTTGTCCAGACACCCTTACACCGTAGTGTATACGACTGAATTCCCCTACAACGTGATGTGCTGAGGCTCTCCAGTTGCCTCCACAAATGCCCTCCGCAGATGCAGCAACCCGGAGAGGACCATTTATTCATGAAACCTGGAAGGAGACGGCAAACCATTCTTGTTTAGATTTTACCGAGTATAAACCCTTGTCGACGGCCGGGAAAGCTTTGACTTGACGACCCGGGCCGCTTACGACGTAGCGAAGAGTGTAGAAGCCGAGACGGGGGACCAGGTTCTATCTGTGGTACGCCTGGGTCTACACACGCGTATCGAGGATCAGCCCCTTACCTTATCGACGGACAAGTGGAACTTTAACGCATGTCAAGAAGCTCCGCAACCATGCATTTGTTCTGGGTCATTAGTTTAACGCCATTTGCGTGCCGAGATCATGGCAAACTTGTCCAGCTTCCCGAGCTGCGGGGGCCCTGTAATCAGAGGGATTTATCTAAGACCAACATAGACGATTCTAGTACCAAAAAAGTACAGTATCCCTATTATAGCTCCACTGATCTGTAGCGTGTCAAGGCAACCTAGGCGGCACCCCCATAATGTTGGTAATCTTTTCATGTACGCCATGTACGTCAAACCCTGAATGGAAGTCCCTAGCCGGGGGACTGGGAAGGGCTCGAAATTCGTCTATATTTATGGGCAAAGAAGCGGTGAGTTCTATGATGGTAAAAGGTGAAGAGAGACCAGGCCCTTTATTGTTAACACGGCTGAAGGACGCTTTGCTGCTCTTATGAAATTATTATCGTTCTGCATCATCATACTTCGAATAGGTTGCAGGCCACAATCTCATACCGCTTTTCTAATATTCTAATACTAATACGCTTGCGGTAACATGGCGAAACACACAGACACATCAAGCGCCCGATCGTTGTCGGAGTCGGCAGGATCCGGAGATATTGCTATCGTGGGCCTCTCCTTCAAGCTACCCCAGGATGCCGACGATGACGCCACGTTTTGGAATATATTAGAGAATAGACGGAACCTGATGACAGAATGGCCAGAGTCGCGCGTAAAGACTGGTTCTTTCTTGGACAACCCGCGCCATAAGGTAAGCTTCATTTCTAGTCCGGGTAGCTGCCGTGCCGGAGGCTTATCAATCGCAATAGTTCCAAGGCCGAGGTGCGCATTTCCTCAATACTGATGTGGGGGTTTTCGACGCCCCCTTCTTCTCCGTCACGGCGAAGGAGGCGGCATCTATGGATCCAATGCAGCGGTGGACCCTGGAGGCATCTTACCGTGCATTTGAAAATGGTAAGGACATAATGCGAGCTTAGACGGGACCGGCATGAACTGACTACCATCTCCGCAGCTGGAATCCCGGCCGAGCAGATCAGGGGGTCGCGCACCGCAGTTTTCTCCGCCTCCATGTTGGAAGACTACACAAGAATGGTAACCGTGGATCCCGATAACATCGAGCGCACGGCCCTTACCGGGAGCTTGGTTGCTTCTATAATTGCAAATCGTGTTAGCTGGTACTTTGACCTACATGGCCCTAGTATCCATGTTAATACGGCATGTTCGAGTAGTTTAGCGGCTGTTGATATAGCGTGCAAAACTATCCAGAGTGGCGATGCAGAATGTGTAAGTCTTATTCCTATCCTACCTGGCCAACGTTGTACTCGGAGCTAAACAATTACATCTGAAAGGCGCTCGTGACAAGCGCCAATTTTCTTCTCGATCCATCAATCGTTCAATTATTATCTGACCAGAATTTCTTGTCTCCGGACGGTGTATGCTACAGTTTTGATCACCGCGCAAATGGATACGCAAGAGGAGAGGGCGTTATTGCTCTTGTGCTTAAACCTGTATCATCCGCAGTTCGGGACGGAGATATGATCCGTGCTGTCATCCGATCGACGGGCTCGAACCAGGACGGGTATACACCAATCCTGACCCAGCCCAGTTCCCAAGCACAGGAGGACTTGATTCGTCATGTGTATCAACAGGCGAATTTATCCTTTGACCAGACCCGTTATGTAGAAGCCCACGGTGAGTAAATACATTTGTCGCTACTTGGATGAGGATTCTAACGTGGAAAATACTAGGGACGGGTACGCCTGTGGGTGACCCGATTGAAATGAAAGCTCTAGGTCGGGTCTTTCGAGAATATCGATCGGCCGAAGAGCCTCTTTACGTGTATGTGGATCGAAGCTCCGAGCCAGCCTTGCGCTTATTTCCTCACTTATTTGGACGTTTTGGCTAAAAGACTACAATAGTGGTAGCGTAAAAGCGACAGTTGGACACCTGGAAGGGGCCAGCGGCCTCGCTGGAATCGTCAAATCGATCTGTAAGTCTCCTACGGCTTCTCTCTATCTTTTAATAGGAGAAGCGAAAAACTAATATGATCCATAGTAATCCTAGAGAAGGGCGTGATCCCTCCCAACCCTCTCTTTGAAAAGATGAACCCCGCTATAGATGCGGACTTCTACCATACTGCTGTGCGTATTTATTAAACCGGTGACACGTTAGTATGCTGACCAGATAATTGAAGGTTCCTACTCAAAAAATAGTCTGGCCGGGCTCGGGCTTGCGCCGGGTATCGGTCAACTCATTCGGGTTTGGAGGTGCTAATACGCATGTTATTCTAGATGATGCGTTCCATTACCTGCAACAACATAACCTAGACGGAAATCATCACACTGCTTCCATTCCTGGGGGTACACCGGATGACTTACCAGGTCCTGCAAAATGGTTAGGAAACGGAAAGGTCCACACCAACGGTAACGGCATTATCCATGCCAGCGACGTAACCGATATCAATGAAACAGTCCTTACTAATGGATCTACTAACGGTAATGGGGCGGACTATACGAATGGGACAAACTATTTCAACGGAACAATTCCCATCAATGGCATCGATTCCTTATTGAACAGCCCTGTGACGCCTCAGCAACTTGATACTGGCTCACCTAAATTGCTAGTATGGTCAGCTGCCGACGAAAAGGCGGCAAAGCGTATGATGGAGTCTTATCAGACATTCTATGAGAAGAATGTTTCCAGAAATCCGACTAAGATTGATCGCTTAGCCTATACGCTAGCTGTCCGGCGAAGCCAGATGCTGTGGAGGACATTTGCCATAGACGAGCCGGAGGGCCAAGTTGGGACGAAATTATCATTCTCTAAGCCTGTGCGAAGCGCATCCCAGGCGGAGCTAGGCTTCGTGTTTACCGGCCAGGGAGCACAGTACGTTGATATGGGTTGGGATCTAATCCAGTATCCCGTATTTGCGGAGACATTGAAGCAGATTGATGGTGTTTATGGAAGCCTGGGATGCAAATGGTCGATTTTTGGTAAGGAAAACGGCAATCCTAAACTCGATCAAACCATGAAAGTGCAATAAGACTAACACTATTCCAACCTTGACAGATGAGCTACGCTCCAGCGCAAACATCAACAAGCCCGAATATAGTCAGCCATTGTCTACGGCAGTCCAAATTGCTCTGGTGGAATTACTCAACAGTTTCGGAATTAGGCCCCGAGCCGTGATTGGCCACTCTTCAGGCGAAATCCCTGCTGCGTACGTGACCCCTGAATTTGCACATTACTTTGAATCAGCAGCATTAAGAATACTTGGACTGACTTGATTGAAACAAACAGCTACGCTATCGGTGCCTTGTCCTTGCAATCTGCCTGCAAAGTCGCCTACT